ACAGTTGCAATCTCAGCAATGGCTTATTGCATCAAAGCTTAATGTGACAAATTTGAATATCTGGAAGGATAAACCTTTAATCCCACTATATGTGCTGGTATAGGTGCCAACAACTACATTGGTGCTTTGACAACTATAATATAATTTGAAAGTAGCTCTGGTAATATGAAAAGTTAATAGTGGTGGGATTTTGGAATGGGTAATATATTAGAGGACATGATATTTGCATATAAATTTGTAGAAAGATTGTCTCCCTGTCTATACAAATGTCCCAAGTGCCCATTGCCCTAGTTCAAGTACTGTATTATATACAGTCTAGTCTTCTGATATTGTGAGGCTTCCCAGTTCCCATGATGATATGGCACTGTTTTCAGTGACAAGCTGGGTGAGGTAGTATCTATTCTTGAACCAACTTCTATTGGTGAAAGAAACAAATTTTCACATTACTCAGAGGTCGTCTTTAGGTCTGGGGAAAGTGTCAGCTACATCGAAGGTGGAACAGATTGTTCATATAAGTAGTTAACACATTTATTTTTCAAACATCTATTAGGGGGCTGAGCCCCCCTGCTCTCTATGCTTGCCAACCCCTCTGTCTCCTGAGGTAGGTATCTGGCCGGGGGAGAGTGCGGGAGCAGGAACAGGCTGGGGGTAGGTGTCTGGCCGGGGGAGGGAAACGTTCTGGGGGTGTGTGGTCTCAATGGAAGGGATAAGGGGACTCAGGAGGAGTTGTGCTTGGATGGCAGGGGGGTCCCTGTTCGCTATGCTCGCCAAACCACCCCCACCCTGGCTGGTATGCTCACCAACCTTCCTCCTGGCTACTCCTGCAACCTCCCTCATAGTCCCATATTCTACCACCAGCCTGCTCCTGTACCCTACGTACTGGCCACACTCTGCACCTTCACCCCCTCCTGTCCCCACCTGCCCAGATCCTGCACCCCCATCCCTATCTCACTAACAAGTCGGGGGAGGGGGCGGTTGAGTAGGAAGGAGACTGCGTGGCTCCCACCTCCCCAGCCCCCCCGAGCAATGGGGAAGGGAGGAGGTCATGTGGCTCCCATCTCCCTGGAGCACTGGGGAGCGGGATGGAGACTGCACAATTCATGCCTCCCTGGAATACAGGGGAGGGAGAGGCCATGGAAGGGCTGCAACCAGTAGGGCTGCAGAGGAAGAGGCTGGCCAGCATGAAAGGTGGCTGGGGCCAAGGGGTAGGCCAAGTTGGCAGGTGTCAATTGAAGCGTGGTGCAAGGAGGAGCTGCAACCAGTAGGGCTTCAGGGGAAGAGGCCAGTCAGTGTGAAAGGTGGCCGAGGCCAGGGAGTGTGGGCAGGAGGTGGTGGTGGTGACCTAAGATGGGGGAGGGATAACTCAGTGGTTTGAGCATTGGTCTGCTAAACCCAAGGTTGTGAGTTCAATCCTTGTGGAGGCCATTTGGGGCAAAAATTTGTCAGGGATGGTTCTTGGTCCTGCTGTGAAGGCAGGGGACTGGACTCAATGACCTTTGGTCCCTTCCAGTTCTAAGAAATAGGCAATCTCCATTAATTTATTTTTATTTATTAATTTAAGATTCCTCCTGCTGCTGTGGGGGGAGTGATGTAAGGGCCAGAGGAGCTGCCTGGAACTAAACATGGGCTGGGGGAAGGGTGACTTAGATGATGTGGTGATGTCATTCTGTCCTGCGGGAAAATGTTTAATATATATAGAGAGAGATGACCATGACACATTCTCCCCTCTTGGACTGAAAATTTCCATGCACAGTCTCTCCTGAGAGTGAACACTTGTGCGCCCCTTCATGTCAAACGAGCAAAATCCTTCCACTGACTCTTTAATGTAAGGGCTAGAGTTTGAGGCTGATGGAGGAGGAAGTTAATTTGCTCCATTTTCCTGTAACTAACCAGTATATATATTATGCTGTCCTAGCATTGGCTCAGCCTGGTCTGGAGAAGTAAAACTAGGATGGGACACAGACATTGCCCAGCTTTCTAGCTGTAGCCAAAAGTGCTGTATGGCCTTGAACTAGTCTGACCCTCTACTTCCCTATCTGTAGTACTGGGAGATGATCTTTGCTTAGCTCACTGCAGTGTTGAGAATTAGTGCGTGGTAATACAGCAAGAAACATCTGGGATTTCAGAGTCCCCGGTGGCTGTTGCTGCCTTATCAATGTAGTTGGTGTTTCAGTAAAGTTTCAGAGTGACAGCTTGAGAGATTGAAATCCCTGGATTTCCTGCAGAGCACCCAGAACATTGGCATTAGTCCTGTGAGAGTTGCTAATGGTCCCTGCCAAATGTGCCCCTCACCACTGAACCAAGGGAGGTGGGAATTATTATTGGTTAAGAGCTGCCACTGTGGCTGGTGCTTTAGAAATGTTATCATATATTTTAGAAATGTGTGTCTGTCCATCGATCTGTGAGTCCATTCAAGAACTCCTTTAAATAGTAAGAGCTAGGATCACCAAATTTGGTATACAGCTTCCTCTTATAATTTAAAGCAAGATCAGGGTTTTGTTGTGCCAGGACAATGGGATGTGCCTGGAATTCGATTGTTTCTCATAAAATGGAAAGGGAAGGGTCTGGTGGGAGGGACAGTTAATGCCGTAGAATGACCAAGGGCAGGTAAATCTTCTAGTAGCAAATAACAAGCTTTTCCATAAGGAGTTCAGAAGATGAACAACAGGAGACTTAGAGGCAGGTGTTACTGTTTTACTTTTTCTTTTTTCACAATATGGCAAAATATTAGGGCAAGCAAAGCCTGTGGCAGATGTGGGGTAAAGGTTACAGGCATCATAGAACAATTCAATCATTCAGTCTCTGGCGTCTCTGCTGTCAAGACTCCAGCTGGGATACCAGTTATGAAGCAGATATCTGGCTGCGGGGGGACTGTACTGTGACTGCCAACTCATTTCACATAGGACACAGACCAGCTTTCAGATTATAACAGGGCTTGGGCCAACCTCCATGTGATGATCTAGAGTTCAAAGGATGACTACCCCATTATCAGTACCTTGAGTCATCCAGTCTCTATCCCACCATATATACTGTGGTTTTATATCACAGTTACACATGCCTTTGAGGAAGATATGGGAAAAGGGTTCAACGCTCATCCTTGCAGCCTGCCTGCATCATTCTAGCACTTGAAAAAAGTACAGTACAGATACTGGACATGCCTATAATAAAAATAATTTCTATACACCTATGTCTGCTGATAGTTCTATTTTGGCCTTCTCCAGTGCTTTCCACCTGAGCCACCCAAACTGTTCTACAGCCATTGACAAATTAAATGTCACTACACTGTAGGCAGTAGAAAAATATCTCCGTTGCACAGATGGGGCAGGAAACTGGGACACAGAGCAGCTATTGCCTATGAAAGTGGCCTATATGTGGGTACTTCTGTTTTCTCACTGCTCATCTTTAGCTGTGTGGGACCCAGCTCTCAGAAGTGCTGAAAACTATCAATCCAGTGGAAGTCAATGCAAGCTATTGGTAATCAGCCCTACATTTCTAAATGAGGCACCCAAAATAAACCCAGCCTTAGAGTTCTGAAAATTTGTGCCTCCGTGAATGACATCAGGCCATACAGCAAGTACGAGGCACAGCTGGGACTGGAAGCAGAGGTTATACTTTCTAATTAATCTAGCTGGTCTTCTTTCTACTCTGAATATGATAGCTATATATTACAGATTAATCTAAGGACGTAGATGTGGTGATGCTGGGCTCTTAGGCACTTAGAACATTGCTGGGGCTCACAAAGCCTGAGTGTGGCACCCACTGTGAATTGAGAGAGACTGTACCTCAGAATGAGTGTCAGAAAAAGTGGCACTTTTGGGGCTCCCTGCTTAAGTTTACTAATGGGAGACACGGAGCTTAGCGGTGCATGTTAGGCTTAAATGTTAAATCCAAGCTTCCCCTGGTTGGGATTCTCAGCAGCCCATTTATGCCATTTTCGCAAGAAGCCCAGGGAAAGCGGATGAGGAGGAAGAGAACCTCTCTTACAGCTATTAGCCCAGTGATTAGGATACTCATTTGTAGGGTTGCCACCTGTGACGTACAAAGGATTAGGATCACCAGGATGATCCTGAGCCCATAAAACTGGACAGCTGGCCGTGCGTATGAAGCACCTTTTTCAGCTTTCCTGGGACAACTACCTCAAAAAAGGGTTGGTCCTGGAAAAAATTGCTCAGGTGACAACCTAACTCACTGGGATGTGGGACACCTCTACTTAGTTATTTCCTCTTTTCCCCACCTGAGTGGGACAGGGGATCAACCTTGATCCACTGTCTGTCTCTTAGGTTAGAGCTTGAACCACTAGGTACTGGGATAGTCAGATGGTGGTGGGAGGGGACGCCCTCAGTCTTCCTGTTTAAGCTTTTCTGCTTTGGATAAATAACAAAAGATTCATTGGTCCAGAGAGAGCAAGTGCAATTATGAGGAAACCATGTAACCCTATGGCCAGCACATGCACAGAAGTGATTGAGGATTCAATCCCCCTGCTCCAATGATTTTTTAAATTCATTCCCCCTCAGTGGAACAACTTTGAAAGGAGAGACTGAATGATTTTTACCTCAGACATTTTTACCTCAGAATAGCCTAGGGTATGTCTACACTATCCCCCTAGTTTGAACTAGGGGGAGTAATGTAGTCATACGGAGTTGCAAATGAAGCCCGGGATTTGAATTTCCCGGGCTTCATTTGCATAAAGCTGGCCGGCGCCATTTTTGAATGCCGGCTAGGTCGGACCCCGTGCCGCATGGAACGAGGTGTACAGCTAGTTTGGATTAGGAAGCCTAATCCGAACTAGCTAGTTCGTGCCGCGTGTAGCCGCGCGGCACGGAGTCCAAACTAGCTGGCATTTAAAAATGGCGCCGGCCGGCTTCATGCAAATGAAGCCCGGGAAATTCAAATCCCGGGCTTCATTTGCAACTCCGTATGACTACATTACCCCCCCTAGTTCGAACTAGGGGGGTAGTGTAGACATACCCCTAGAGCCAAGTGGCTAGCACACTCGTGAGGTGGCAGATTACAGTTCAAATCTCTTCTTTCTCCCTCAGGTTGAGGGAGTTAAATCCAGGTGAGTACATTCCAATGGACTAAAAACCATGAAGGAACTCTTCCTCTAACACCATATTGTGTAACTTCACCTATAGGGGACGGAGCTATAGGTGAGCTCAGCACATGCTTACTGGATCCAGTCCTGCAGGTGAGTTGGGACTTCTCTCCATTACACAGTGGATCAGCCTCGAAGCAACTGATCCACCAGCAGTCGATTTATCACATCTGCTTAGATGCAATAAATTGATCTCTGCGTGCTCTCCTGTCAACTCCAGTACTCCACCAGGACGAGAAGAGCAGCTGGAGTCAATGGGAGAGCAGACCCCAACAACCTTCCCGCATGAAAGACACTGTAGTAAGTACAGTGACTTCAGCTGCACTATTTGTGACAAGGCCAGAGGTGAAGAAATGTCTATTCACACATATCTCTGGAGTTAGGTGTCAGGACACTTGACACAGGTCTGTTGTGTCTATGCCCTGAGGTGGAAACATTGATGACCAGGGACCTTTTATTGCAAACACCAGGGGTGTGTCTAAACTACATGGCTCCATCGATGGAGCCATGTAGATTAAGCTGATCGGGAGAGGGAAATGAAGCTGCGATTTAAATAATCGCCGCTTCATTTAAATTTAAAGGGCTGCCGCGCTCTGCCGACCAGCTGATGATCAGCTGTTTGTCGGCAGATCGGGGCAATCTGGATGCGCTGCGGTCGACAAGGAAGCCTTTGTCGACTGGGGTAGGTATGCCTCGTGAAACCAAGTTTACCTGGGCCAGTCGACAAAGGCTTCCTTGTCGACCGCGGCGCGTCCAGACTGCCCCCATCTGCCAACAAACAGCTGATCATCAGCTGGTCGGCAGAGCGCGGCAGCCCTTTAAATTTAAATGAAGCGGCGATTATTTAAATCGCAGCTTCATTTCCCTCTCCCGATCAGCTTAATCTACATGGCTCCATCGATGGAGCCATGTAGTTTAGACACACCCTAGGGTGCCAAGTGAGTTGAGGCACGTCTGTGGTTAAGTGGCAGCTGAATGGGTTATTTTTGTGGATCCCAGTGGAGCCTCATTTTAAAATTTAGGCCACAAAAGAGGCAGTTAGGCACCTAAGTCCTTCTGTGAGTCTAGCCATAAGAGTTCAATGTTCTCTGGTAACCATTTTGTAGCCCAGAAATAGGTGTTCCCATAACACCTGCCTGGGAAAGCCAATTAACAGTTGCAATCCTAGCTTGGATTATTATGATCAATAATGCCATAAGCCTTAATCATGCTGACGCTGAGGGTGAAAGCTTACACAAGGTGGCACTTTATAAAGGCTGCAGCACTGAGAATAGCATAGCCAGCTTCTGCTCAAATGTAAAAAGGAGGGAAATTTCAACAGGGGAGCCTCAAAGAAAACAAAACATACTTGTAAGACCAAAAATACCTCTGGAACTGCAACCATGAATGGAACAGAGGGCCCAAATTTCTATGTGCCCATGTCCAACAAGACTGGGATAGTACGGAATCCATTCGAGTATCCTCAGTACTACCTAGCTGAGCCATGGAAGTTCTCTGCACTATCTGCTTACATGTTTCTGCTGATTCTCCTTGGCTTCCCTGTCAATTTCTTGACTCTGTACGTCACCATTCAGCACAAGAAACTCCGGACCCCCCTCAACTACATCCTTTTGAACCTGGCTTTTGCTAACCTCTTCATGGTCTTTGGAGGATTCACCACCACCATGTACACCTCAATGAATGGTTATTTTATCTTTGGGACAACGGGCTGCAATATCGAAGGCTTCTTTGCTACATTGGGTGGTAAGTTTTCTAACTGTGTAAATAACCAATAAGCAGATTTAAAATCTCCTCCTTTTGGATTTCCCCCAAGATTTTAGAAAAGGGAGAAGTATCAGATGGTCTCAATGTGCACCATAAAAGGGAGCTGGAATTGGGAAATTAGATTGTAATTTGAATTAAGTTAAAGCTATGATATTTCAGAGCAAAAAGTAAATGGGGGAGAAGCAATAAAGCACCATGGGGGAAGCATAGTCACTGAGTATCCTGAAAAATGTGGAGTGTAGGATTGACAAGTGACCTGCAACAGATTTTTAAATGTTTGGTTTGTATCCTTTTTATCTTGTTCTTTTAATTTTAGAAATAACAAATCTGGTTATCCCTGGTGCTGCCTGGAGACTTTCTGAGAATCTCAGCTGATGTCTCTTGTGAACTTTCACACTCTTATTGAAGAGGCAGGGTTATTTAGCTTTTAACAAAGTCATCTTTTCTTCCAGTGTCAATTAGGCATCAAGCTACACTGGGACTAAACACCCTTCCCTTCTCAGTTCACTTTTCAGATATCTGTCTTGTGAGATCATCATTTAATTAGTTCTCCAGTTACCATACAGGCCTCATGGGTAGACAAGACCTAAATTTATGACAAAATAAACAAGCAGAAAAAAAATCCACCCCTGTGACAACATCCTTTCCAGAAGGCAAAAAAGCCTAATTCCTTCACAGGTCCTTTAAATGCCCTACTAACAAAGCACTTGATCATGAGAGGTGCTGAGCTATGGGTGGAAATCAGTGAGACTTGTCAGTGCTCATTACCTCTTGGAATCTGGCTCATGGATTTTTGAGCAGAGATACAAATGTGGAGAGATTGGACTCGTGATAGAATGATGCAGTAGGGCACGAGACCCTGTTGCAAAATGACGGGTACAGTGATCAGTAGTACACTAAGATATTTGTGCATTCTTTACTGTATTTTAATTCAGATCTGTGACATTAACATTCCTTGAAACCTTACCTGGATTTCTTTGTCATTTAGAGACTTCCTTGGAAATCGTAACATAAGAATTAATCCAACCTCAGTCACCAACACTAGGAATTATTTTGAGGACGTTCTTTGGCCTGTTATATAGGAGGTCAGATTAGATGATCACAGTGGTCCCTTCTGGCCTTAGAATCTCTGAAAAGGGCTTAGTTACATGGCTACTCATTCTCTTCTGTTGGTAACAGTCTATGCATGTGTCTCTTTCTTTCTTTTTTACAGGTGAAATAGCTCTGTGGTCCCTAGTAGTCTTGGCCATTGAAAGATATGTGGTCGTCTGCAAGCCCATGAGCAACTTTCGATTTAGTGAGAGCCATGCCTTCATGGGTGTCATTTTAACCTGGGTCATGGCCCTGGCCTGTGCTGCTCCTCCACTGTTTGGATGGTCTAGGTACGGACTGAACATTTTTTGAAATGATGCCCTAGCTAGCATGACGTTAGCAGCAGTTAATGAGGCATTTTACATATTTCTCTAGCAGCATTCCCAAGTAAAAAAAACCTTCATTCACAAGTTTAAGAACAGACACTAATCTAATTGATTTAATTGCAGGTACATCCCAGAGGGTATGCAGTGCTCATGTGGAATTGATTATTATACTCTGAAGCCTGAGGTTCACAATGAATCTTTTGTCATCTACATGTTTGTGGTTCACTTCCTTATTCCACTGATCATCATTTCCTTCTGTTATGGGCGCCTGGTCTGCACTGTGAAAGAGGTAAGTACATCTGCTAGAGATGACCAAAAGCCTGTATCTGAAGCCTATTCTACTCTACCCCAAATGCTGGGAGATTTCTGATCCAGATCTGAACTCCAGAGCGAGTTCAAACTGTGCTGGAATGAACCATGACCCCTGAGCCAATCAGGCCTGACATTTCTGAGGGTTAGTGTGATGTTACTGTGATGTTTGTAATTCATCCTACCCCTAAAGACTTCACCACTTCGCTGGACCCTCAGTTGCAGTGTGTTCCCCAGTTTCTCCAGGGGACTTCTGCATCACTGAGTGCATGCAGAACCCATGTCCCACAGTAGATTTCTTTCTTTCACCACAAAAAATTGTGGGGAAGCAAACAAAATTTCCTCAAACTCAGGGGGAAAGGGTCACTATATGAGGAACTGCTTCTCTGTCCATCCAGTCCCCACATGCATCAAAACACCCCCCAGACTCTCACTGAGCTCTTCCCCTCTACATCTGGCCCCCCAATCCACTGTGCGCCAACCAGCTGCACCCAGACTTTCATCTCACCAAGCCCCATTCCTCCAGCATGCAGACCCCCTCAAAGCCCAATCCCCCAGAGTTCCCACTGAGCCTCAACCACCTTCATCTGCCCTTGTCCCCGCAGAGTCCCACTGCCCTTTCACCTCAAATCTCCAGTGAGCCACTGTGCATCCAGATCTCTGACTGAGCAGCTTGTACTCAGGATGCCCCACAGAACCTTCTCACCCCATCCCTGGATCCCTCCACACGTAGATCCTGCCGGGCTGAGCCTGCTTGCCCACACTGGTATCCGGGGGCAAGTGTGGGTGTGCATCTGAAGCTCTGTCCCTCTCAGTTACTGTCTTGGTGCACTGGGAGTGGAAAGGCAGGGCCCAAGCATGTTTTGGGAGCAGACCCATCTCTTGCACTGTGTCAGGGTTGGGTGTGGCCTCATTACCAAGTCTGTGCAGCAACAGGGGGCTGTGGGTGATCTCCACCTCCATGCAGCCAATGGCCAGTGCTCCCCATTGCTTTACCGAAGCTTCCACATTTATTTATTGGCAAATAAAATATGCGGAGTTTTAAAATATTGTGTGTAGAATTTTTATTTTTTTTGGCTCTGTATTCCCTCAAGAGTGCCCAACATATCCCCCCGCAACACCATCATTATTTCAGTGGTTTTATCTCTTTAGGCTGCAGCTCAGCAACAGGAGTCTGCCACCACCCAGAAAGCTGAGAGAGAAGTTACTCGCATGGTCATCATCATGGTGATTTCGTTCCTTGTTTGCTGGGTCCCATATGCCAGTGTTGCTTTCTACATCTTCACCCACCAGGGATCTGACTTTGGCCCTGTCTTCATGACTGTCCCAGCTTTCTTTGCCAAGAGCTCTGCTATCTACAACCCAGTGATTTACATTGTAATGAACAAACAGGTAAGTGGCAAATCTCTGATGTTTTTCTGTATTGTATTTCATTTCTTAATGGTTTACAGAGAGTTATAGCATCTAGATCATATTTTTCAAGTTCTTTTTGCTCAGGGTGACACAAATGGGGCCTTTTGGATGATCTTGCTATCCTTTGTATTACATGAATCTGGAAATCATCAGGACTGTCTATTTGAAATGATCAGGTCATTAATTTAGTTAAATTATCTAGGATTATATTCTGCTTTCAGTTACAGTGGTACCACCATATCAATATACTGGAGATGTACTAGTCTAATGGACCCAGTACTAATAATATTCAGTAAGGTTAAGGTAATCCTGAGTAAAAGTTGTAGCTAGTTCTGGGAAGTGAGAAAAGTTAAGAACATAAGATTTGGCAGAGTGAATAAACCATTGTTCTAGCAAGTCTAGTATTCACTGTCCTTACAATAGGAAATAACTGTGATATTTCAGACAGTGTGCTATGTTAGTTGTTGGTACCTCATATTTTATAGCCACCACTGCATATACTGGTACTTGATATAGAAAAATAGAAACTGCATTTACTTTTGGAACAGTAAAATGTTTAATGAAGCGTAAAACACAAATTCTCACTTGCTTATTTTGCTTTTGGAGGAACCTAAGTTTTTTACAACAGGATCATTGTTAACTTTATTGTCTCTCTATAACACCGCAAATTTTAGCTTCCAGGAGTGGTGTAAAAGAACATAAAAATAACAGAGAGGGGATGTCTGCACCCTATATGTACTAGCCAGCTCCTGTGTCTCCACTGCTAATTAGTCAAATATTGAGCAGAACACAAATTCAAGGATCAGCTCATACTTATCCCATTCAGATGAGAAGCCCCATTCACTTCAACAGGACTGTTCAGCTAAGGGACTCAATGCAAGTTCCACTGAAGAGAGTAGAGTCTTTTCCATTGGCTTCAATGAGAGTTAGATTATTCCCAAAACATACTAGTGGCTGCGTCTAGATTGGCATGATTTTGCGGAAATACTTTTTACGGAAAAGTTTTTCTGTTAAAAATATTTCCGGAAAAGAGCGTCTAGATTGGCACGGATGCTTTTGCGCAAAAGCATCCATGCCCAGTATAGATGCACTTTTGCGCAAGAAAGCTCCAATGGCCATTTTAGCCATCGGGCTTTCTTGCGCCAAAAATTAAGGTGCCTGTCTACACTGGCCCTCTTGCGCATGTATTCTTGCGCAAGAGGGCTTATCCCTGAGCAGGAGCATCAAAGTATTTGCGCAAGAAGCACTGAATTCTTACATTAGAACGTCAGTGCTCTTGCGCAAATTCAAGCGGCCAGTGTAGACAGCTGGCAAAATCTTGCCAGTCTAGACTCACCCGCAGACTTTTACAAGCACATTTAACAGACCTGAATTTCTCTAATCTGAGAGCACCTTCGTTAGCCGCAGTTCCTTGTATTTCCCCCCTCATTGTGTAGGATAGAAATATCTTCAGGTGCATTACTGACCCGTTTGATGTGAGGATATTCACGGTGTGTAAGGTTGGCTGGCAGGTGTCGACTGGCACCCTCTGGTTCTCTCTGCCAAACTTGTTTTCTTTTCTAGTTCCGTAACTGCATGATCACCACCCTTTGCTGTGGAAAGAACTTGCTGGGTGATGATGACGCTTCTGCTGGCACCAAGACAGAGACTTCCACAGTCTCCACCAGCCAGGTTTCTCCTGCATAGATTGCTCCTGAAAGCAGCTGATCTCAGAGCTGCCATGCCTTGTCCCATTTACATGAATGTAGTCATGTCCACCACCACCACCACCACCGCCGCCTGCATGAGAGTCACAGTTAGCCAGCAGGATGGACCTTTCAGTTCTGATCATAGAAACCCTTTGAACAAGGCTGTACATATTTTTTTTATTACATACTAAGGACTAGCTCCTGAGCTGGTGTAAATGTGTGTGTATATCCAGTGACTTGTATAGAGTTATGCCCATTCGCACCGGGCCACGATCCTTAGCTTCATACAGAGGAAGGGATGTTCTCTTGTCACAGAATGGAGAAGATTAGTGACACCGCAGCCCTGTGGATTCATCCTGACTATGGCGTCTGTTCTGGATGCGAACCACAGGAGTCATGGTTAGGAAAGCCAATCAAAAAGAGCCAAGACACAGCAAGCAATCTGGGGGAGGGGGGGGGGAAGGGGGATGAAGTATACATGTGTCACAAAGCTAGGATCACCGGGGGTGCATGAAACCTAGTGAGTAGTGGCTAGGGTTGCCATCTCTCCAGGTTTTATCTGGGCAGTTTTTGGTTTGTGTGTCTGGGTACCATTTAGAGTTGCCAGGTGCTTGATTTTTGACTGGAAAGCCTTTTTGAAAATAGGACCAGGCAGTGTTCGGTCACATGTACTGGCCAGACATCCAAAGTCTGCTAACACAGAATGGCAGGAGGCACTGTGTCATTCACTTACACCAGGCCCTGTTTAGCTAGGGCTGTCTCCTACCTCCAAGAGGCTCCTCAGCAGGCTGCAGCTCCTGTCACAGACTCAGAGCAGCAGGCGCCCAGCTCGGAGGTGGCGGGCAAAGGGGGTTGGAGACAGTTCAATGAGCGACGGTGGGGGGTAAAAGGAGTAAACAGGAGCAGAGGTTTTAGGGGGAAGAGGCAGAGAAGGGTGTGGGGGCTGGGGAAGAAGTGAAGAAGAGGTGATATCTGAGATCTGGAAACCAGCAGCTAGAAAGGTGGCAACCCGAGCCATGGCATTTAAGGGGTTAGAGTGTGGTACAATTTGCCCATTAGTGCCATCAATAGAGCAGGCTCGGGGAGGATTCTGTTCTTTCCTCTGCCCCCACCAAAGTCCCTTGCACACCACCAGTTAGCTGCGCTGTTTACAAAGAATAGGATTTGAACCATAAGCGGTAGCTGACTTGCAGTGTGTTTGCCATAGCATGCAGCATTATATTTCCATGGTAACATGTAGTCATTTGGTTTCCCCCTGACTCCTCCTACGTGTCCATAGACCACACCCCTATAGTTCAAACTCTTTGTGGTTCTCCTGTGGTTCACCTACCCGTCTTCAGCTGTAATTTGATTTGGCATCACACCATGTAAGAGGTTTTGGCCACACTTGTGCTTTTTGAGGATTGATTGGTGGCAAATTGCTACACTTTTCTTCACTTCATAGCAAGCAAACCATGGGAGCATATGGCCCAGAGATTTCAACATATGTTTAATGCGCTAAAAGATGGCATAATGCAACTGCACCTATGGTCTTTATTTTTAGCTCTGTTATACAAATAAGATGTTTTTCTCACCCTTCTGTGCTATCAACATTTGAAACTATTCTTATACAGTATTATCCTCTCAGATTTCTAATTCTGCGCCGCTTTGCAAGATCTGATAGGGAAGGGCTATAGAAACTATGCAACTTAAACTTTTAATAAAGAGCAATTTACAAGTACAAGTCTCATTATTTATTTTTAATTGATATTTCTACATATTCACTGAAATCTGAAAATCCAAGGTTCATGAGTCATTCAGTGGTTAGATTGAAAGCTCAGTCATATGCTCAGAGTCTGATAGATTTTTTTTTTAAAGAAAGAAAAGGAAGTTTTGTTTTTAGTTGTCCAGTTTAGGGATGTAAAATCCTGGTAAATCAGGTAACTAGTTAAACGCTAGGTTGACCTAATAGTTAACTGAATAAAGTTGGGCTCTGAGCTGTGGACCACTCCAGTTTGGCTGGAGCAGCACCCAGCCCCACACTGGATCTGGATGCCTGCTTCCAGCCCCTGCCAGGTCCCAGGCCCCTCTAGAGCAGCCCCTGCCTGTGGGACACACAGGCTCCCCACAGACAAAAACTGCTCCTGGAACAGTCCATGCCTGTGGGGTGCCCAGGCACGTGATTAAACTGTTAATAATGGAATACCAGGTAGTTTAAAATGTTGAAATATATTGATTTCAATTATAAAGTATACAATGCCCACTTTATTTTTTACAAATATTTGTACTGTAAACAATGAAACAGTATTTTTCAATTCACTAATACAAACACTGTAGTACAATCTCTTTAACTTGAAAGTTGAACATACAAACGTAGAATTATGTACAAAAAATAAACTGCATTCAAAAATAAAACAATGTAAAATATTAGAGCCCACAAGTCCACTCAGTCCTACTTGTTCAGCCACTTGCTCAGTCAAACAAGTTTGCTTACATTTGCAGGAGATAAAGCTGCCCACTTCTTGATCACAATGCTACCTGAAAGTGAGAACAGGTGTTCCCAATGGTGTCACAACCACCATTCCAGAGGCCATGTGTCCATGCTGATGATGGATTGTGCTCAATAACAATGCAAAGTAGTCTGGGCTGATCCATGCTCATTTTCATCATTTGAGTCAGTTGCCACCAGCAAAAAGTTGCTTTTCTTCTTTGGTGGTTTGGGTTGCTTTTCTTCTTTGGTAGTTGTCACGGAGGAAAGTAACTTAACTTTCTTACAAGTACTGTTGTCAGGGAGGAAAGTAACTTAACTTTCTTACAAGTACTGTTGTATCACAACCCCCCTCCCCCAGGAGGGGGGACCTCAGGGCAGGAGGTTGAGGAGGGGTTGCCATATGACGGTATTTGTAAGACATTTAAGTGCAGGTTGGAGTGCTGGGGGCTCAGGATGGGATGTTGCCGTGTATGTGGGTGGAGGGGGGCTCGGGGCAGGGGGTGGCAGGTGCAGTAGTTGGTGGGGGTTGGGAGGTATGGAGAGCTTGGGTCAGGAGTGTGGGGTGGACTCAAGGCAGGGTGTGGGGGGGTGAAGGAGTTGACAGAGGGTTTGGGAGGTATGGGGAACTCAGGGCAGGGGGTGGAGGGTGCAGTTGGCAGGGGGTGGGCAGTTCAGAGCAGAAATGCGGGGGTGCAAGAGTCAGGGCAAGAAGTGGGGGGGAGGGCTCAGGGCTGGGAGTATGGCCACCATGCTGCTGGGCTGCCTGATCCCCAGGGCTGGCCAGGGTGGCAGGGACCGTGCTGCCCAGCCACTGGATCCCCAGGGCTGGGTTAGTGACCATGCTGCCCAGCTGCCTGAGCTTCAGGGCTGGAGCCTGTGGATGCACGGTGGCTGCCCAGGGGCTGTGGGTGCTGGCTCAGGCCCACCACGGCTGGCTCGCCTCCCTGCCCCCAGCTGTCTGGGGTGGAGGATGAGGGGGGAGTGATTGGGATCTGGTTGCTGAGGATGGGCGCCAGAATGGGAGGGAGGGGCCAACTATGCCCAGTAGTAGCAAGGCTAGCAGCAGCATCCAGAGCCCCGCCCTAAGCTGACCACTCTTGTACTGGTGTGCTGCTCCAGGGCACGTCAGCTTATTTCACCTCCAGTCATTTCCTCATTGGAATCCTGCTCTTTAAGTCTTCGGAAAGCATGTTCCAAAACTCATTCCTCTCACATTTTGGATGGCACTTCAAATTCTTCAACTTTGGATCGAGTGCTGTAGCTATCTTTAGAATCTCACATTGGTACCTTTGAGTTTTGTCAGATCTGCTGTGAAAGTCTTCTTAAAATGAATGTGCTGGGTCATCATCCAAGACTGCTATAACATGGAATATATGGCAGAATGTGGATAAAACAGCCAGAGATATACAACTCTCCCATCAAAGAGTTCAATCACAAATTTAATTTATTAATGCATTTTTTATGAGCATCATCAGCATTGAAGTACGTCCTCTGGAATGGTGGCTAAAGCCTGAATGGGCATATGAATATTTAGCATATCCAGCACATAAATATCATGCAATACCATCTACCAAAGTGTCATGTGAATGCCTATTCTCACTTTCTGGTAATATGGTAAATATGCAGGTTGAAGCATCTCCTGTAAATGTAAACAAACGTGTTTGTTTTAGTGATTGGCTGAACAAGAAATAGGACTGAGTGGACTTTTAGACTCTAAAGTTTTACATTGTTTCGTTTTTGAGTGCAGTTATGTAATCCCAACCCCTTATATTTGCAAGTTTCACTTTCACCATAAAGAAATTGCACTACAGTACTTGTAAGAAGTGAATTTAAAAATACCAGTTCTTTTGTTTATCATTGTTACAATTCAAATATTTGTAATCAAATATAAAGTGAGTATTGTACACTTTGGCTACATCTAGACTGGCAAGATTTAGCGCAAATACTCTAAATGCAAGAGTTTTTGCCTTAGAGTATTTGAGTAAGAGAGTGTCTATACTGGCATGTGCCTTTGTGCAAAAAGATTTGCTTTTGCACAAAAGCATCCGTGCCAGTGTAGACGCTCTCTTGCGCAAGAAAGCTCCAATGGCCATTTTAGCCATCGGGCTTTCTTGAGCAAGAAATTGATGTTACCTGTCTACACTGGCCTCTTGCGCAAGAACACTTGCGCAAGAGGACTCATCCCTGAGCAGGAGCATCAGAGTATTTGTGCAAGAAGCACTGATTTCATACAGTAGACCGTCAGTGTTCTTGCGCAAATCCTCCCGGCCAGTGTAGACAGGCGGCAAGATTTTGCCAATGTAGACACAGCCTTTGTATTATGTTGCAACTGAAATAAAAACAATTGAACATGTAGAAAAACATTCAAAACTATTTAGTAAATGTCAAGTGATATTCTATTGTTTTGTGGTGCGATTAAACTGATTTAATCACAATTATTGTTTTTAATGTTTTTTGAAATTAATGTGAGTTAACTGTGATTGACAGCCCTAATAATTTCCTATTCTGCTCTAAGCACACCTTCTTCTGCTGTGACTCTGCTTTTCTGATTTCATAAAGCATTTTTGCTCCAGTATTAACTGGAGAATTTTGTTTCCTTTTGCTTATAATTCAGACAACTATTCTGATGGCACTAGAAAACACTGAGATGACGGTGTCCTAATTCGCAAGAAAATAGTTTATTCTTCCAATCAGAGTGAATTTAGCAACAGCGTCAGGTGGCCAGTTCCCTGCCCTGTTTATCTACAGAACCACCTGGGTCACAGCAGTATAACCTTTCCCTAGCCTCCTTTATATGTGTGCCTTGACACTCACTTGGAAGGACATCTGGCAGGGTAAAAGAGCAATTCAATCAGCGTAGTTCATGCAAGTATAGGCCTTTCTGCTGATGGCACTTCCAATTGTGATGGGGATGATTTTGGGATGTGTACAATAGGGATTTGACTGAGACTATTGCCTCTTTT